TGTACATACTTGTTATCATACTTCTAGAAGACAGTGATGGAGTTGTGTGTTCGATCTGGGTCCTTTATAGCTTCTTGTAAGATAATAAGGGGAGCTTAGTAAAACAGAAGTTTGGGGAGGCAGTAATTGTTCCCTGTTGTAAGCCACATTTTGGGGTGACCTCTGTCACTGTCTGGCCATGGCGGGTTTGTACGTTCCAGGGTAGGGGCACGTGGGTTAGAAATGTTAGGTAGGAGAAAGAGATAAGAAAGAAACACAGAGACATAGGATAGTACCGGGAGGGCAACTCAGTGGATGCTGAATACTGAATTCGCCCATTTTTAATTTTCATACGCTTTTATACCCCAATAAAAAAGTGGGGGAAGAAGGCAAAGACTGCTTTAACATGACACAAAGGACAACCAGAACAATTACTTACTTCAATGCTTGAGTTATCAAGCCATTCTTTCCTGAGTTAAACATTCTGAAGTTTTGGGCAGGATATGCAGTGAATACACCCTAGACCATGTATCCTATAGGCAGCCCTTTCCTATGTCAAACCTCCTGTTTTAAAATGAATGAGCAGGAATAGGCTTGAATTCTCTGACCTATGGTCAGGGTAGAGCAGACCCAACTCTGGGGGCTGTCTTAATGTCCAAAACACTAAGTAACTAAGTAACTGCTCCCCAGGTCAGGGTGTGTGGCCACACCTGTTATCAACAACTTTGAAAGAGCTGAAAAATCAGCTCAAACTCTCTGACCTCCAGCCAAGGTGGAACAGACTCACGTCTGTGGGTCCACAAAGCTGTCCCAGCTGCAGAGTGCATAAGCCATGTGACTGCTTGTCTGCCACAAGTCTGACCCTCGTGTTGGCTCAAATGACCATTTCTCCTTTTCTTCCCAGTTCGCCTCTTCCTGGTAGCTGCTGAGTTTTCTCACTTCCTGGCCCTAGGGGCTTTTCTTTTAAACTCTCAGAAAAATTGATTGTCTTCAAGCCAAAAGGGAAAAAAAAAAAAAGGAAGGGACGGAAAGAAGAAAGAGGAAACCCTTTTAGGATTAGATTGCTTTTGGGTAAAGGCTGAAGACCTGAGTTCAAATCCTTAGGTCCCAAATAAATGCCAACATTTAGTGCAGGTGGCTGTAATCCCAGCCCTCCTATGGGGAGACGAGAGATCTTCTGGAAGCTCCTGGGCTGGCTAGCATGATACTTGGACAGAACAGCCAAGAGAGCTTCTCAAACATGAGGAAAAAAATGATACTCAAGGCTGTCCTGTGACCTCCATAAATGCACAGATTCAGAAATCCATTTTTGCCTTGTCCTCCTTAGAGAACTCGCTTTTCCTCCCCAGGGTATCCCGCCCACCTTGTGTTGGCTTATGGAGGGCATTCTATAACTGATTGTAAATAGACCTGTGAAGGGTCTTCTGAATCATTCCATATATCTATTTAGACACCATCAAGATAAGTCCACTTACTTATCTCGAATGAATTGTTTCAAAAAAATTTATTTATTTTATTTTATGTATAAGGGTGTGTTGCCTGCATGCATACACACGTGCACCACGTGTATGCCTGCATGCATACACACGTGCACCACGTGTATGCCTGGTGCCATGGATTTCCTGAAACTGAACTTACAGACAGTCATGAGCTGAATGGAACCCGGCTCCTCTGGGAACACCCAGTGATTTTAAGTACTAGCCTCTCAAATTAATTTTAAATGAATAAATTGCTGGCATCTTACTGAGTTAGCTCTAGAGTTCCTAGCCCTGCAGGTAGTTCCTGGCAGTCTTGCATTAGCTTCCATGACTTCTAGAAGTGTTTTCTCTTAGTTTTGCTTGGGAGCCTAACCTTTAATGGTTGGTTGAGCTGCCTCTCCAGCCCTAGAAGTGTTCTCTAAGAAGCAGTTGTAACTTACTAATCTGTGACTGGGAGAGGAGTGGGGTTTCCAGGGTGGGGAGAAGGAGAAATGGGGCTTCTGCATTTTGTTGGAGTTTTATTTTCCAAATCTGGTGCCCAACTGTTTCTTCCTCTATTTGTAAGCCATACAGCAGCTGTCTTAGGGTTTCCATTGCTGCAACAAAACACCATGGCCAAGAACAAGTCAGGGAGCAACTCAAGCGGGCCTGAAATCTGGAGGCAGGAGCTGATGCAGGTGCCACGGGGTGGGAGCGGGGGAGGGTGCTGCTTACTGGCTTCCTGCTCAACCTACTTTCTGGTAGAACTCAGGATGTAGGGATGGGACCCCCCCCCCCCCCCGCCCATTTATCACTAACTGAGAAAATACTCTACAGCTGGGTCTCATGGAGACATCTCCTCAACTGAGGCTCCTTCCTCTGCTGACTCTAGCGTCTGTCAAGTTGACACAGAAAACCAACCTTTCTGTCCCAAAACTGTTTTAATTTAGAATAGGGAGACCTCTATCCAAGTCATAAGAAGTGTCATTTACAAAGAGATGCATGGCAGGGTCCCTGATTGGGGAAGCATGTGGTTGCCTTCATCGCTTTTAAAAGTAATCGTTATGCCTGAATAAATGCAGCTTATATGCATCTTTACAGAAATTCTACTGGGTTCCACCTCTTCGTTTAGGCGTTTGTACTGAGCCTGTTTCACAGAGGAATAAATGGAATCTCTAATTAACTCAAAGTTGCACCCCTTAGAGCCTATAAATCAGACTGGGTTACGCGCTCGTCCTTGCTGGCCCAAGAAGAAAAGGAATGTGCGTGCCACTCCGGCTGGCATCCTTACCCACCTTGCCCTCTAATAGAGGAAATACGGTGCACGTGGAAAATGTCAGCTGGGTGACTTTCCCTTGCCAGGAGCATTTTGGAGGGCGGTTCCGTTTTGTTCCAAGACCCTGTGGTGTCTGTGGCATTTGGGACCTTCGCTCTTCCCTCTTGTTTTGGGGGAGGATTTCCTGCTTTAGATCTTAGATGCTTGCCCTACCCTTAGGCCCTGTGAGGAAGATGAGACTCTAAAGAGGAGGTAGGGAGCCCGGACTTAAACTCAGATGCGGTTTCTTCTTCGCTGCAGCGTGAGGGACACTAGGGCGGAACCGAAGGAGAACGAAGGCGCCGGAAGGCACAGAGTAGCCTCTGCCCTACCAGTGCACAGCAGTTTGGAAGGAAGCCCCCCCTCCCAGCTCTTTGTCAAGGCTTTCATAAGGAAAGACTTTAGCAGTGAAGAGACTTGAAAATCAGCCAGTATGCACGTGAGCAGTTTTGGAACCTGCGTTTCCCTGTTTACTTCTGCCCCCTAGAGGAGCGGATATGCCATAGCAAGAGGAGGAGCCTTTTGGAATGAGATCTCCAAGGAACTGCCGTCCAGTGACCCCAGGAGTTGTTAGCCCTGGGAGCGCTAACAAGAGACGTTCGGCCACCTTTCCTCAGTAGAACAATTAAAAACACAATTAATAGTGAAAATCAGAAAATAGGATGTTTATTCAAATTGACCACATCGGAAAGAAGAGCAATTAGGTTCAGTGACCTCTATTCCGTTTTCAGGGTCCTGGCATGAAGTTTAGGTTTAAATAGAAGGTAGGAAGACTGCATAACTAAGCTGTCCTGGTCAAGGTCTGGTCCCGCCCACCACTGTTGCCTCCGTTCCGGTCTCTCGTGAAAATCTATCTTAGACGCGTGCCCCGCCCTTACCCTTGTGAGGAGGCTGAGACTCTAAGGAGGAGGTGGGGAGCCGGGACTTAAACTCAATTTCGTGGGGTTGGTTCTGCTTTTCCCCTTCCCAAAGCTGCTGCCCGCTGACTGCAGCGTGATGGGAGTGAGCTTCAGCCTTTTCCATCTCCCGGACTGAGGTTCTGGGGGTAATTCTAATTTCCTGGGGTTGGATATTTCAACAGTCTGATTTAGGGAGGGGGCTATATATGTCTCTAGGATGTTTTTATTTCTGCAAGGTGGTGACAATTCTGTTGTAGCTTCTCTTGTTTTCCTGTCCTGGACCCAGCCTGGGTATGATTCTGGGCTGTAAAACCTTGCTCACACCCCAGGGAGGGGGTTAGCGTGGGTCAGTGTGACTCAATCGTTCCTAACACCCAGATCTTACAAGGGGAAGATGGGTATCCAATAGGTTATCAGCAGCCTGTGGATCACATCACCATTTCCTTAAGAAGATGTTTGCTGATTGATTAACAATGTCTGTACCTTATATCCCTTCAGTGTTAGAGAATAGAATTCATTTTAAGAGAGGCTAAAAGAATACAGAATATAACTGCAGTCTTAAATAAAGATGTTTATCACTTCTTACTAATAGGAGAGGACAAAAGACTTACTTGGTGCATTATTTATTTAATTATTTATTTATTAATTATTTATTTAATAACTTAATTGTAGAGTATAAATCACTCTACAATTAAGAGGCTTAAGCAAACTATTCATTTGCTTATCGCTCCCTGTTTCTGTGGGTTAGGACTTTAGGAACTGCTTAGGGAGGCTGTTCCGTTTTAGGGTCTTTGATGAGGTACCCAGAGTCAGCTGTGGCCAACTGAAGTCTTGATGGAGATTGGAGGAGCCGTTTGTAGGCCATTCATTGGCTGGCTGGCAGAAAGCTGACGCTGGAGGCTTGGGAAAGGTCTTCCCTTACGTGGTCCAGGACCCCGCCTTTGTGTTATGGTACCGGTTTTCCCAGAATCAGTCACGTGAAGGCAAGACAGGGCCAGGGGGAGGCTGTGTCTTTTTAAAAATCCATTGCTGGGGCTCAAATGCAAGGCCTCGTGCATGCTAAGCAGGCTTCCTCAACCAGCCACGCCCCTGGTTCCCATGTTCGGTTGCATTAGGTGGGTTCCGTCCCGGTCCCGTCGAATCTGCTGGTAGCCGTGGACAGAGAAGGAGGTGTAGCGAGGAGTGCTCCTTTGTGGGAAGCCTGGGATATGAACGTCACATGTTTCATTACTTCTGAATTGGGAGGCCTCAGAGCGTCGTTACACAGAAATAGAGATGCGGTGGAGATAGATAATGCTAGGAGTCTCTTTGGCTCGTCTAGCTTAGGTGTTTGTTTTCTGTTTTCCCCAGAATATCTTCGCAGGACTTTCACATCCCTGGGCTATCACGTCCATCCTTTCTTGTTTCCCAGCGCGGAAGAAATAATTAAGATTCTTCACCGGTTTGCCGGTCTGCCCCAACACAGAGACTATGACAGCTTCGCGTGTGTTTTAGTGAGCCGGGGAGGCTCCCAAAGGATGATGGGTGTGGATCAGGCTCCCACGGGGTTCTCCTTGGATTACGTCAAGAGCATATTCATGGGGGACGCTTGCTCTCCTCTAAGAGGGAAGCCAAAGCTCTTCTTTATTCAGAGCTACGAGGTGTTAAGTAGCCAGTTAGAAGACGGCAGTCTAGAGGTAGATGGGCCGGCAGTAAGAAGCTTGGACTCTAAGACCCTGCGTCCTGGCCCCTGCATGGTCCACCGCGAAGCTGACATCTTCTGGAGCCTGTGCACGGCGGACGTCTCCCAGGTAGAGCAGCCCACCAGCTCATCCTCCGTGTACCTGCAGAACCTCTCCCGGCAGCTGGAACAAGAAAGGTAAGCACTGCGGTCCTGACTTCCACCTCGGTCCTCGACCATCTACCACAATGGAGATGACCACTGTGCTCTGTCTGACGGCCTGCCACAGGAAAGAGACTTTCCCTTCCCCTCTAGGGTTACTTTGGGATGTGATAGAGATTCAGCTAGCGTTATCATCTCTTTGCTCGTTTGAATGTATTTCTTATAGTCTACTAACATGAATTAAGCGTTACCCTAGGTGTGTGTTATAGAAAAAGCACAGTTTGTGTACTGTAGAGTTCAGGTTTGGTCTCCTTGCATAGATGCTTCCACTGAGGCTCTTGGCTTCCACGACTATAGACATTAAAAAAATTATTTGTTTGTTACGTATACAGTATTCTCAGTAGTCTGTGTGCGTGTATGCCTGCAGGCTAGAAGAGGACACCACATCTCATTACAGATGGTTGTGAGCCACCATGTGGTTGCTGGGAACTGAACTCAGGACCTTTGGAAGAGCAGGCAGTGCTCTTAACCACTGAGCCATCTCTCCAGCCCGACTATCGACATTTTTGATGTTTATTAGGACTAGTTATTTCCCCAAAGGATCCATTACTGTCCTGGCTTCTGGTTAACCGAATGAAGCCACAACATCCTTCAGGTATAAGACAAATTGACCTTTTTTATTGGCCCCCTCATTACAATGAGCTACTACTCAAAGGTTTGTATTGTGAGGCTCCCAGACGTCTGTCTAGTTTCTCTCCCTAGTCTCCTCTGTGGCCTGCTGGGAATGTTGCAGCCTTCTAAAGGAGATGCTTCAGGGGCCGGGAGCCAGCACTGGCTTCTGACAGTCTTCACATCTTTGCATGTGCGATGCAGGTGGCTTACCACCTAGCTGGTGTGTTCCCTGTAAAATCCAGCTGGAAGGAGACTCTGCCAACTTGTTTGGATTGTTTGCTAAGCATCTTACGGAATACTTAAAAAAGGGTGGGTTTCCAAGAATGCTCACACCGCTGGCTTATCTCGCCCCTTTGGCGTTTGCGTGGCATGAAAATTAGCCTTTCTGTTTCCCTCCAGGAAACGCCCACTCGTGGACCTCCACGTCGAGCTCATGGACAAAGTTTATGCCTGGAACAGCAGAGTTTCTTCTAAGGAGAAATACTATCTGAGCCTGCAGCACACACTGCGAAAGAAGCTCGTCTTATCTACGTGAAAACTGGAAGCCCCCTGAGTTCTTGGAGCGTAGGCCAGGGTGGCTTGGAGCTGGCAAACCTCCTGCTCGCTTGGGTGCAGGCCTTGAAAGTCTATACTTGCTCTGGTTCCAGAGCAAGCCCCGATTCCTGATTCTCTTATAAACAGGCATCAGCTGTAGCCCGGCTGCCACGAACCACATCACTCCAGCTGCCATGCGTCCCCACTGGGATGGCAAAGTGAGCCTCTCCTCCTTAAGTTCCTGGGCCAGATGTTTTAGTACAGTGTGGAGAATGGTAAGATATAATCCCATTGCTTCTTGGGTTTATCTAGCAAGGTATACTACGTTATTCTAAGAGTTATAGTCTGTGGTTCAAGATTTGAATTATGACACCTGAATGTACCTTAAGGAGGAGACTTGCCTGGGTCCATCACCTATTTGTGAAAATTGGTTCTGTGTCAAGGGCTATTAAATTGTTAGCTTATGAAGTTATTAGAAGTATCCATTGCCTCATGAACTTCTGGCATTATTGCTCTTGAATTTGAATATTGGATT